TTAAGAATTAATCACCTATAATACTGGGTGTCCTACTTGTGCAGATGCCACTGCACACCATTTTATGTAAAACTATTCGTTTTTTTACATTTTAGAATGGTGTGCCTTGAGATTGTGCATAATTTTAAAGGGTGCCTTGACAGAAAAAAAGGCAAAGAAACACTGAATTATATAACAATCATCTTTCAATGATCTCCCCAACAACAACAAAGTAAAACTTAATTGAATGGAATGGATTGCTGCATTTGCACCCACAGCTGAGTAACAGACATTAGAACAAAGTGGAAATGTTGCCTGTGGCAACTAGTCATGTTTTATCTTCCCTGGCTAAATTAAAAAGAATAAGCACTAAAGTTAAACTTTTGCTTTGATTTTCCTTGCTCTAGTAAATCCCTTTTTTTCTCTGCACAAAACAGTTCCTAAGCTCATTTTTTTCCATATGTGCATGAAGGGCTACCCCAGGAGGAGTCACAGGATTGTTGATTCCTTCTGCCCTGCTCAGTGTTGACCCATAGAAACATTGGACTTGAGCTTGAACTGCACCTGAACCTAAAAAATACTGACACACCTGAAACTCTTGAAATAGGCTTCATTAACAGGTGCTAAAAGGAAAAAAAGTTACAAGGAGATACAACAGTAATCCATGCAAGAATAACAAGACCAATTTGTACAATCTTGAGAATCAGGGCCCATGATGCACAGATGGATGATATCTACAGTATAAGGCATATCTAGCATGTAAAGGTCCTGACTAGACCAATGTCCAGTGGGATATACAGGCCAGTCCTGCCCGTATAAGGGCCAATAACTCACGCTGGGCGAGCATTGCCTCCGTCAGCACCAGCAGGTAATCTAAGTCCTTTTGTTAGCCTCTTCTTCCGGTGCTGTCCATCATTCCAGGAAGTGATAAGTAGTTTGATCAGGAAGAATTGTTCTGCCTGGTGGTGTAAAGGTGCCAACAGCTAATGCTTCACACAAATAATTTAGGCATTAAAGCTGAAGTTTAAGTATGACAATTTTGACCATTGTAAGTGCAATATGGTGCCATACATGTAGGAGCCCCATGAAAGCTGGAAATCACTTTATTAGGCATGACTAGTACAGTTTTCTCCTCTAGTTTCAAGGTCATTTATTGAAAGGCTGCCCTGCTGCATTAGAGGTTGCTTGTTCGGCACAGGTGCCAATTAGGAAATATTTAGCATTTTTTCAATTTTGCATTTGAATGTAGAGAAAAGTTGGAAATCAGATAGGTTGATAACTTTCAAATCCAGTTGATGTGGCCCCAATGGGGACTCCATTGAATTCACTGTTTCTGGTCTCTCTGGCTCCGGGTGCGTATTCCCTCTAATTGCTTGATATTGTGGATTTCTTTCAAACTCCCTTTTCCTCTTCCTCCGTCTATTCCTGGGCTTACTACTCTTTTCAAAATTCCTTTCTGTGTTAACGAATCTTCCGCCATAGCAGATGTTTCATCTAAAAAACCTACTGATCTTAACTCCTCACCCTCACATTTCTCGACATCCATTCAAAGTGCAAAATATATACAGTTTGTCTGAGCTTTAGGCAAGAAGGAAGGGTGGGATCTAAATTTACACTCTGCAGTTAGAGCTGATTGGAGGGAAGAGACACATCCCCTTCACATAGCATGCAGGAACAGAGCTGAGGCTGTCAGTCACAGGCTGCATGCTGGAGATCCCTCCCTGTCACCTTTTTTCTCTTGGTGTCGGGAAAACTTAAAAAGGTAACTCATGCAGATAACAGAGAAATGAGGCAACATAGATACATTTTCTTTAGTGCTCTGGATTGAGACAAATACACAAAGATATGCTTTGTTCATATTTCATTTTAGAGGATTACAACCACTTTAACTGAACAAACTGAAGTTAGAAGCCGAATGGTTACTCAGTACAGCTGCAGCAATTCTATCTGTAAATTCCCCCCATTGTCCATTTAAGGTGTAGATTGTGATTGTGTACCTTCCATCTGGATCTAATATCGACTCTACCAGCGGAAAGGATAAATCTCTAATAATTAGAACATCCCTTCATAGCAGACGCCAGCTACAGTTGTGTCCAAAATTATTCAACCCCCAATGCTGTAAAGGGGTTTAGGGACTATAGTGTACAATCAAATCCTACAAGGACGTTGTAACTACCCAAATGCAACTAAATGACATCAATTGTTTATGTAATACAGTAGTAAATGGTTCTTATGTGGTTTCTTCATTGCACAATTATTCAACCCCTTAAACAAGACTACCACTATCTGAAGAACAGAGGTTCATACAGGTGCTTTCCATCAGGTATTGGAAAACACCTTGGATGTCACCGAGCAGCAATTAATAAGCACCAATTAGGCAGCTTTAAAATGACTGTGATACTCAGCTCCTTCTAGACATTTACTGGTGTGGTTGTTACAAACATGGTGAAGTTAGCAAGAGAATGGTCCAGGAAGACAAGAGAAGAGGTGATTTCTCTTCACAGGAAGGGCAATGGCTATAATCTGGATTGCAAAGATGTTAAAAAAAATACCAAGAGACACCTTAGGAAGCATCTTCGCAAATCTCAAGCAAAGGGCACTGTTGAAACGCTACCTGGTCGTGGCAGAAAGAAAGAAGATGCTGACTTCGACTGCTGTGCGCTACCTGAAGCGTAGAGTGGAGAGAAGTCCCCGTGTGACTGTGAGGAACTGAGAAAAGATTTGTCAGATGTGGGTAAGAAGTTTCAGCCCAGACAATAAGACGCACACTGCGTAATGAAGGCCTCCGTGCCAGAACTCCCAGGCGTACCCCCTTGCTGTCTCCAAAGATAAGAAGAGTCGACTGCCCAAAAGCCATGTGGACAAACCACAAAAGTTGTGGGATAGTGTTCTGTGGACTGATAAACAAAATTAGAACTGTTTGGGCCCATGGATCAACGCTATGTTTGGAGGAGGAAGAACAAGGCCTATGATGAAAAGAACACCTTGCCTACTGTGAAGCATGGTGGGAGGGTCAATCATGCTTTGGGGCTGTTTTGCTTCTGCAGGTACAGGGAAGCTTCAGCGTGTGCAAGGTACCATGAATTCTCTTCAGTACCAGGAGATATTGGATGGAAACGGATTTTGCAGTCCGTCACACACCTGAGGCTTGGGAGACGTTGGGACCTTTCAACAGGAAATGGATCCCAAGCATACCTCCAAGTCCATAGAGCATGGTTGCAGAGGAAAGGCTGGAACATTTTGGAGTGGCCATCGCAGTCACCAGACTTAAATCCGATTGAGAACCTCTGGTGGGACTTAAAGAAAGCAGTTGCAGTGCGCAAGCCTAAGAATGTGACTGAACTGGAGGCCTTTGCCCATGAAGAATGGGCGAAGATACCCGTAGATCGCTGCAAGACACTTGTGTCAAGCTATGCTTCACGTTTAAAAGCTGTTATAACTGTAAAAGGATGCTGTACTAAGTACTAAGATTGAATGTCACTTGGGGGTTGAATAAAACTGATAATGCTGTGAGCACAGAAAAAAGACATTTGTGGTTATTTCATTATAACTGTTATGTTATATTTGTCTGACCCACTACAAGTGCCTCTTTAATGTAAATGTAAGCAAGATGAGCTGAATGATCAAAAGCAATGTCAAACTGGCCAAAACACTCAATTTCAGTGGGGGTTGAATAATTTTGGCCACAACTGTAGATAAAAGAATAGTTGAACATTTTGGGGTAGCAGAAGCTTGCAAATGGGGTTCTAGAACCTAGAAGGTATCACGCTGAAGTTGGCGTGCTTCACATCATACACAGAACATATTAGCCAGCTGGTTCAGTCCCTGGGCATTTAGTGAGGAAATGTATTTTCAAATGTACTTCAAATACAAAAGTACTGAGAGCTCACCCAGAACCAAAGAGTAAGAACATCCTCTGGCACAGCTGTTGGATGGTGATGGAATCTGCTAGGAAAGGTTGACAGTGTGGCATATGTACAGATGGAGTCCCACAGGCAATCTTGTGCTGCAGGTATAGAGAGAGACAAAAACTTAAAAAAAACAGCTCAAAATAGAAAATTAGGAATAAAACGGTAAAAAAGGAGGATCCAGAGGAAGATATGAATGTGGAAAGCTCTGCGCATATATTCTTGGGTTTGTGGAGTTAGGGTGGAATTGCTCCAGACACAGAGAGAGCACTGATTAATATGAGTTATGAGTGACCACCTGCCAGTCAGGTGTAATGGCAGTAGGAGGCATAGGGTTGAACATATTGGAGAGAATTCCCAGCCTTGAAGCTGTTGTGCCATTTTGGGTAATGATAAGTTTAGTTGGGTGACCCCAACAATATAGAATTTTGTGGATTTTTTAAGGTTTTATTAGCCAGCAACAAATTTCTTCTTTGATGAAGGGAACTTTGGGAGTGATCCGAAAACACTCGTAGAACAGACTATTGTTCCGTGATGATTTCTGGTTTGTAAAATAATGCCAGAATTTTTTTCTTTAATGATGAAGTGGATTCTCGATAACATGTCCCTTGATACATTGTCAAATAGAAGTGAGGGCTTAGGAGTGCGGTAAAACCGATCAATCATCAATTCCATGGGTAGGACATTAAGAAAAAGAATGTGAACATAAGCTGGCAGATGGACTGGTTGCATAGTCTCAGCGATACCTCTGATTTTAAGGTTATTATGGCAAGATCTGCCACCTTAGCTTTATTCTAGGAAATTCATCCGCCTTTTTGGTATAAGAGTCAAGTAAGTTGTTGTAGGATGAGGCAAATTCTCCAATATTTTACCCTATTCGTCCCACTCTGTTGCTTAGATCTTGAATGTCCTCTTAAAATTGTCTCATACATGATAGGATTCTCGTAATACAACATGCAACTTGATACCCCAAATATGGAAGACACCTACAGTGCCTTCAGTAAAAGACTGGATAGATCAAGGTGGATTACTTTTTTTGAGATGGAGTCCATTATGCATTACAAACTTGGCAGATTGCAACAATGTAACCGCTGCTCATTATTTCAATCACAGTTTCCGTCTCCTGTATTCTGTCTGCAGACCTTGACCATCTCTTGTAGTATGTGTGCAGTCTCTGGCCATCTCCTGTAGTATATCTGCAGTCTCTGAGCATCTCCTGTAGACTGTCTGAAGTCTCTGACCATCTCCTGTATCATGTCTGCAGTCTCTGACCATCTCCTGTAGTATGCCGGTAGTCTTTGACCATCTCCTGTAGTGTCTCTGCAATCTCTGACCATCTCCTCTATCATGTCTGCAGTCTCTAATCATCTCCTGTAGTAGTATGCAGTCTCTGACCATCTCCTGTAGTATGCCTGTAGTCTCTGATCATCTACTGTATTATGTCTACAATCTCTGACCATCTCCTGTAGTATGTCTGCAGTCTCTGACCATCTCTTGTACTATGTTTGCAGTCTCTGACCATCTCTTGTAGTATGGCTGTAGTCTCTGAACATCTCCTGTAGTATGTCCGAAGTCTCTGATCATTTCCTGTAGTATGTATGCAGTCTCTGACCATCTCCTGTATCATGTCTGCAATCTCTGACCATCTCCTGTATCATGTCTGCAGTCTCTGACCATCTCTTGTAGTATGCCTATAGTCTCTGAGTCTGACCATCTCCTGTAGTATGTCTGCAGTCTCTGATCATCTCTCGTAGTATGCTTGTAGTCTCTGACCATCTCTTCTAGTATGTCTGCAGTCTCTGACCATCTTCTGTAGTATGTCTGCAGTCCCTGAAATCTCAGCAGTTGGCTATCACTGGTATAAAGTAAGGGCTGCTCCCCCCCCACCAAGAAAAAAAAATAGAGCCCCCCCATCATAGCCGGCATCTTCACCCAGACACAAAAAGTAGTTGAAGTAGGCAGAAAGTGGCCAGCTGTGTAAAATTGGTACATGGTACTTAGTATTCAGGGTCTGTTCATTGGTCTTCATTAGTGACATTTTTAACGTTATTAAATTATTTACACAGCCCCGGTGTTTGCTGAAATTGCTTTAAACTATACAGAACAGCTTTTGAAAAATTCCTTTCTTTCTCATGTCTGAAGCAATACCTGAGAAAGAGGAAAACTCTTGAAAGCTTGCCTTTTAAGTGTTACCGTAGGTTAGTACAATAAAAAGGTATCATTGCATACCATTACTCTCATATTTTGTACTCCTATTTATATATATACTGATTTAGTTTTTTTCAGTGGTTTGATTTAGTGGTGAAAATTATTAGTCCCCCCCCCCCCAGTTTTGACTGTGGTATCTTATGTGCCCTCCCCCCATATATTGTTCCTAGAGTCACCCCTGGTCTTTAAATAAACTGTTGCTAAAAGTCTATTTAACTGTCAGGTCATTTAAATCAGAAAGGTGAGGAGAAGCCCAGAAGCCACATATTCTATACCTTATAGAGTGATCATGGTTCTCAATTGCCTATAAAAAAATGAAATAAAATAAAATGCACATGAAGGCATTTGAGGTTGGCTGAAAGCATATGGATTAACACATTACACAAAGCCACATTGCTAACAGCTCATAGGTGAGAAATAGCCACTAAAGCTGAACTCCAAGTACAATACAGAAAAACATGACAACATTTAATGCAGGCATGTACTGATCTAAAATATGGACGCTATTAAAGCCGCTCAACACATTTACCTTTTAGTTTTGGATATGGTGTGTGAAAGAAAGAGTAGAAAAACCTTTGCTTCAAATTAAACTTTACATTTAAGTTTTACCTTTATCTTTACATGTATTACCTGAATGTGTTGTTAATCACCTGCACAGCAGACTTCTGCTGGGATAGGGATGGGCCAGCCTAGGAGCCAATCAAGCACTGCAGCTGTACACATGTGCTAAAAGTGCAACAGCAAGGGGGGGAGGAGCAGGCCTGGGGAACAGGGAGTATTTCCTGGAGTGGTCCTGAGTGCAGACGTATCATTATTAAAGTGATTGTTAACCCTTACATATAGCCAGTGAGGTGACTGGCCTCAGGTGATACACAGGAAAGAAAAAAATCCTCCTACATAGGTTATACCTGCCTATGTGCAGTGTTCTCTTCCCTACATCCGTTCAAAGTGTGAATTTATAAAGCTTGTCTGAGATTTCAGAAAAAAGGGGGCAGAGAGCTAAAATTACACATCGCAGAGCTCAGTGAGGAGCGCTCTGAGAGCTGATTGAAGGGAAGGGATAACCCCCCCTTCATACGGCTCACAGAAACAGAGCTGAGACTGTCAATCTGCTGGAGGTCCCTCCTATGTCACCATTTTTTCTCTTGGTGTCAGGAAAACTTGTCAAAAGGGATTCATGATGATAGCAGAGGAACAAAGCAGCAGACAAAAATGACTCTTAGTGACTCTTAATTGTGACAAATACACATTATATGCTTTGTTCATATTTCATGTCTGAGGTTTACAGTCACTTTAGGGGCGGCTTTACATAGCCCCCCTGCATTTTTGCTAAAGTGCAGCTAACTCCTGTTTTTTTGTGTGGTTAGCTGCATTTTTACACAGACTTCTGAGATCCTGCAGTTTTGGTATGCTTTCTGAAACAGCACCAAAACCACGGGACATCATAGAAGCCTATGGCAAAGTGCAGCTAACCTGCAAAAAACCTGCAGGTTAGCTGCGCTTTGCCCAGCAGGACAACAGGCAGTGTGAAGCCACCATTGTTCATCAGTCTCAGGTCATTTAAATCAGAAAGGTGAAAGAGCAGCCCAAAAACAAAATGTTCTATACCTTATAGAGTGGGCCATGTTAAAGGTTCTCAATTGCCTATAAAAAATACAATAAAATAAAATGCACATAAAGGCATTTAAGTTTGCCTGGAAGCATATGGATTAACACATTACACAAAGACACTTTGCTAAAAGCTCATAAGTGAGAAAAAGCCCATAAAACTGACATCCAAGTACAATGTAGAACAAATCCCAGCACTTAATACAGTCATACACTGATTTAAAATATCAAAGATGATCAACATATTTATTTTTTATCTTTGGATATGGTGTGAACAGGGGCGGACTGACAACTCATGGGGCCCCTGGGCAATAGGGGATCATGGGGCCACTGTGTCCTCATCCACACTCAAACCACACCCAAAAAAAGCCTATGAAAAAGGTACTAGGGCAGTGATGGCGAACCTATGGCACCTATGGCACGCAGAGCCATCTCAGTGGGCACGCCAGGAAGAAGAGGATGATGAGCGCGCATGGACCAGCCATCCAGATCTCGTCCACACTGGATCCCCATCAAACTACATTTCCCACATGTCTCTGGGGCCAGGGTGGGCGTGGACGAGAGGAAACGGCTCCAATGCGGCTCTGGCACCAGGGGTGATGTACCCGGGGATGGGCGCGGAAGAGAGGAAGAGGCTCCCACACTGCTCCCACACTGCTCCGGGGCCAGGGGCAACGTGTTCAGCGTGGATGGGAATGAGCTGCTGGGTTGGAAGCCACACCGACGCTGCCAGAGGTGAGATTGCTTGCAGTGTCATCCATCAGTGCCCAGCAGTGTCGCCTGTCAGTGCCCAGCAGTGTCGCCCATCAGTGCTGCCCATCAGTGCCATCCATCAATGATGCCCAGCAGTCCCATCCATCAGTGCCCAGCAGTGTCGCCTGTCAGTGCTGCCCAGCAGTGCCACCTGTCAGTGCTGCCCAGCAGTGCCACATGTCAGTGCCCAGCAGTATCGCCCATCAGTGCTGCCCATCAGTGCCACCCATCAATGATGCCCAGCAGTGCCATCCATCAGTGCCCAGCAGTGTCACCATCAGTGCCCAGCAGTGTCACCCATCAGTGCCCAGCAGTGTCGCCTGTCAGTGCTGCCCAGCAGTGCCACCTGTCAGTGCTGCCCAGCAGTGCCACCTGTCAGTGCCCAGCAGTGTCGCCCATCAGTGCTGCCCATCAGTGCCACCCATCAATGATGCCCAGCAGTGTCATCCATCAGTGCCCAGCAGTGTCACCCATCAGTGCCCAGCAGTGTCGCCTGTCAGCGCTGCCCAGCAGTGCCACCTGTCAGTGCTGCCCAGCAGTGCCACCTGTCAGTGCCCAGCAGTGTTGCCCATCAGTGCTGCCCATCAGTGCCACCCATCAATGATGCCCAGCAGTGCCACCGATCAGTGCCGTCTGTCAATGCGTCCAGGTAGGCAAGTGGTTAATTGCAGTGTTGGCACTTTGAAATAAAAAAGTTGGTTTGTGTTGCAGTTTTGGGCACTTGGGCTCAAAAAGGTTCGCCATCACTGTACTAGGGGAATCTCATGGGGCCCCCTACTGTCCCTGGGTCCCTTGGGTGGTGCCCGAGTGCCCAAAAGGTCAGTCCGCCCCTGGATGTGAAAGATGGAGTAGAAACTACCTTTGCTTCAAATTAAACCTGCAGGTTAGCTGCCCTTTGCCCAGCGGGCAACACCCGGACACTGTGATGCCACCCTTGGACATCAATCTCAATAGAACCCACAGTCTGTGACACTTTCTGCATTATATAGCTACCCCCCTTCCCTGTTTACACCTGTAATCACAATGCCTGTCAGAGGGAAATTTTCCAGCCTTGACTCCCATTGTGACGCTATGAAGTGGGGTCACACCGGTGCTACTTGTTATGGAATTTCACAGTTTCATATCGCATGACAAGTTGAACCCTATTGTCTGCAACAGAACAGTTCAAATCGGTGTGACTCCAACTTTGCGGTGCTGCACTGATTTGAAAAACATTTTTTGTGATTTCAGGTGCAACTTGCATAGACATCTGTGCATGAAGTTGCACACATGTCAGCCAAGTCACACTTGAAGTTGCATTGACATGCAGCTTTGAAATTGTGCAACTTCAAGTGAAGTCTCACAATTTCAAAGTCTGATTCAGTGTGAACCAGCACTAAATGTTGAAAGCTGCAAAGGAAGTTGATGCTGGTAAATGTGAAAAGGTGTGCCGCAATAAGCCCCATCTTATAGGAACTGCCACCTTTCACTATGTCCACCACAATCTGTGGCACACTCTTTGCGGTACTCTTTATTTTTTTTTTTAGCCAAGAGCAATCTATCCCTACTGCAAAAATGGCCTCTTAGTTGTAGTTGCTCCCACCAGGCTAAAGGTTCCCAGTCCTCCCTTCCCTTACAGGGAACTCGATTGTGCTGTGCTGCAGCAGTGTAGACCAGCCTTTTTTAACCAGGGTGACCAGGCACCATGGGGTGCCTTGAAGTTTCTTCAGGAGTGCCTTGGCACAATGCCTAAAAATTACCCAAAAATTGTATACAAGCCAGAGGTGGATTACACCTGCCTTTTAGTTACACGAAGCCACAGGTTTTCATTGTGCACCATTACGATCTTCTAGCCACTGGCATCCCAAAAACCAATGATATCAGCAGTTGATAAGGACAGTGGGCACCTGCACATCATCCTTGTTTGCCCCTCCCCTGCCTCT